TGAGAACCCCAGCGCCTCTCCCACTAATCTCAACTCGTTGAAGTTGGCCCTCTTGAAGTCTAGGGCTACCGCCTTGCTGCAGGCCCTTGATGTGCTGCGCTGGATGGTGAATTCCAGCAAGGGATGATTGCTGTCACCCAGGTGGTCAAGAGCCTGGAGGCCCCTTACCAGGTTGTTGCCTGTGGCCAGGACCAGGTCCAACAGGGCATTTCCTCTGGTGGGACTGTGCACCTTCTGAATTAAGTGGAGGTCTTGTATCTTGGCCTGGAACCTTCTGGAACGGTCCGACCTGGCTGACTGTTCTTCCCAGCAGATGTCCGGGTAATTTAAATCACCCATGACAACTACATCCCTTGCCTTAAGTGCCTCTGCAAGCTGCCCAAAAATTCCTGGTCCAACTCCTCCCCTTAGTTGGGGGGTCTGTAGTAGACCCCCACCATTAAATCCCTCTCCCCACAGCCCCCTTGTATCTTGACCCAGAGCAGGGGGTGTCCTAGTATATAGAGCATCTCCTATTCCCTACTGCCCTCCCCTGCTGCCCCCTCATGATTAATTTATAGTCAGCCATAAGATCACCTCTTAGCCTTCTCTTCCGAAGGTTGAAGAGATCTAGGTCCCTCAGTCTCTTCCCGTAGGGCCTTGCCTGGAGGCCTCTGACCATATAAGTGGCCCTCCTCTGGACCCTCTCAAGATTCTCTGCATCATATCCAAAACTGGGTGGCTATCAAGTCACCTCTCAGTCTTCTCTTACTCAGACTGAACAGGCCCAGTTCCCGGAGTCTCTCCTCATAGGGCTTATCCTCCAGGCATGTGATCATACGGGTGGCCCTTATTTGTAGCCTTTCAAGCTTATCCGCATCCATCCTGGAGTGTGGTGCCCAGAACTGGACACAGTACTCCAGCTGTGGCCTCACCCAGTGCCAAATAGAGGGGGAGGAACACCTCTGGTTCTATTGGCAACACATCTTTTGATGCATGCCAGTGTTCTATTTGCCCTGCTGGCGACTTTATTACATTGTTGTCTCATATTCATCTTCTGGCAGACTGTCACCTCCAGGTCCCTTTCAGATGCAGTGCTAGCCAGTAGACCACCACCCTCTGTATAATTATGGTGAAGGTTCTTCCTACCCAGATGAAGGACCCAGCATTTACCCCTATTGAGCCTCATCTGATTGCATTCAGCCCGTAAGACTAGTCTGTTAAGGTTATCCTGGATCCTTACCCTATCCTCTGATGTGCCCACATTTCCCGACAGCTTGGTGTCATCTGCAAACTTAATCATTGCACTTTCCACCCCCTCATCCAAGTCACTGATAAAGATGCTAAAGAGCATGGGTCCAAACACCGATCCCTGGGGGACACCACTGGAGATGGTCATCCCATCGATTACAACTCTCTGGGATTGGCCTCTGAGCCAGTTGCCAACCCACGTCACTGTAGACTGATTTAGGCCAGTAATATCCAGTTTGATTGAGAGAACGTCATGGGAAACGGAATCAAAGGTTTTACTGAGGTCTAGGTAAATGATGTCAACCACATGTCTGTTGTCCAGCTGGTTAGTTACCTGGTCATAAAAGGACACCAGGTTTGTCAGGCATGACCTACCCTTGACAGAGCTGTGCTGGTTGCCTCTTAATACCCCACCAGTTACGAGCTTGTGATTGATGGCCTCCTTAACAATTTTTTCAAAGGTTTTTCCCAGGTCTGAAGTCAGACTGGCTGGTCTGTAGTTTGCAGGGTCATCCCTTTTCCATCTCTTAAAGATCAGTACCACATTAGCCCCTTTCCAGTCGTTCAGGACCACTCCTGAGTTCCACAACTCTTTGAATAGCTTTGCCACAGGCCCTGCTATGAGCTCAGCCACTTCTTTCAGGACTCTTGGATGCAGTCATCTGGCCCAGCAGACTTGAAAATATCCAAATGTTTTAAGAGTACCCTCACCTGTTCAGAACTGATTTAATGTGGACTGTTGTCTTCCCCATATTCCTTGGGCATCTGGACAGGTGAAAAGCTCCCGTCTGATTTCAGGAATACCAATGTGAAGTAAGTATTTAGGAGCTTTGCCTTTTTTCACAGGGATCAACTGTGGGCTGGCCCTCTGGACTTAGTAGGGGTCCCACAGTGGAGCTTGGTTTTTATTTCTTGCTCCACATGTACCTGTAGAAGGACTTCTGTTGTCCTTTATTTTGGTTGCCAGTGTGATCTCCATGCCTGCCTTGGCTTTCTGTGTCTCATACCTGCAGACCCTAACTGTATGAGTGTACTCTGGTTGCTGAACCATTTTTTGATTGCTTCTATACTTCTTTTTTCTTTTTCAAAAGTGCCCTAATATTCCTGTTGAGCCACGTGGGTCTCTTGGCACCTTTCCAACTTTTTGACCATGTGGGGGTGGCCTCTGTTTGAGCAGTGGGAATTGGCCTCTTAAAGAAGCACCACCGTTCCTGAATTCCCAAATTGTCCAGTTGCTGGTTGCAGAGGGCCTCTCTAACTAGACTCCTGAGTTACCAAAGTATGCCTTCCTGAAGTCTGGGGCTTTTGATCTGCTGATTCTGAATTCCCAGCCTTTCAGTGGACAGTGGATCTAATCAGATCATGATCACTGTCACCCAGAGTACCTCCAATCTTCAGGTTGTCTACCATGTTCTCCCCTTTGGTCAGCACTAAGTGGCTTTACCCCCAGTTGGCCTTTCCACAGCCTGTATCAAGAACAGGTTGTCGATAGCTGCCAAGAAGTTGGTTGACGTGCTGGAGCTCGCTGAATGGTCTTCCCAACAGATGTCAGGGTAGTTGAAGTCACCCATGACAATCAAGTTTTTAGTGCTGGCTGCCTCAATTCCCTGGAGAATGCCTGATTGCTCTCCTCTTCTTGATAGGAAGACTGCCACCATCAGGTCTCCCTCTTCTGAGTCCCCTTATATCTTAACCCAGAGGGTTTCAAGGGACCTCTCCCTGCAATCGCACATGACCTACAGGTACTACTGTTTCACATAGAGGGTCACGCCTCCTCTCCAGCCTGATCTTTCCTAGAGAGTCTGTTAGCCCTCTGTATCCACTGCCCAATCATATGTATTGTCCCACCAGGTCTCCATCAACCCAGTGAAGTCAATCAAATTTCTCATCTACCAGAAGGAGTGCTAGTTTGTCCTGGTTATTGCCCATGCTTCTGGCATTCCCATAAAGACACCTGAGTTCACCCTGAATTGCCTCAGGTTTTCTGTCCCTCTGCAAGTATCTCAGGACATTGATACTCATCTGGATGTCCCCTACATGAATGCCCTCCCCTGGGTCATCTTGGCCAGAGGATTCATGTACAGCAGTGGAATCTTCCGTCTGTCCCCCAGACATACCTAGTTTAAAGCCTTCCTCAGCAAGTTGATGATTTTCATAGAAAAGAGCTTCTTCCCTCTGCCAGTGAAGTGAATACCGTCTCTTGTACGTAGACCAGTGCCATTAAATTGCATGCCAAGGTCAAGGAATCCAAAACCAACGTGGTGACACCATCTACAAAGCCTTCAGAAGCTTTGATGATACTGATTTGTCCCTAGCTATGTATTTTGTTTGGAGGATGACAAAGGAAAAATGAAAATAATTGAAGGCTTGTTTTCCTTACTACTCTGCCCTCAGAAAACCAGATCAAGATAAATATTGATAAAAGAGATCCTATATAGTGGCAGATCAGAAAGAGAAACGTGTGGTGCTGTCTTCCCCATCCTCATGCCTTCTTGTTAATTATTGTTTCTGCTTCAGGTATTTCCACTTAAAACAATCCCTTTCTCTGTTCTTTGGTAGTTGTTATTTCTTCAGGTGATACACATTAAATGTAGGGCATTTCAATCCTAAATTTGGGAGATTAGGAAACTAACATATGCTAGTTAGTTCTGCAGTTGTTTGCCACTGAATTTTTTTTGTGTGTGGTTTTTTTTTTTTCTCCCCCTTTGTGTATATTGGAAAGTTTGCCTTGCTTTTGGATAATTAAGTCTGCCAAAGAGTTAGTGCCAAATTCATGATCTTTGTAGATGGCATATCTCCATCGCTGCTATATTTTGCTAGGTAGGCCTGTCATTTGATTCAGGTGTCACTGAAGAATTTCATGAGAGAGATTTCATGAAAATAGAATGATAATCATGAAAACTACAAGATAGTGGTTTAGGTGATAATCACTAGCTTTAGTAAATCATTTTGAAAATCTTGAGGTTTTTCTTTTTATTTTGTGAACACAAAGGAAGAATGGTTTTATCAGCCGCTTGGTGAGCAAGGCTAACTTTGTAATCAGTGCATACTTTAAATGATTTGGGTGTGAGACTTCTCTCAAGCATTATTGAATTTACAAAGTTGTGTTCAGTGCAGTACATTTGTATAACATTGTTCCCCCATACATACACATGAGCTTGAGACGCTCTCTTATTCCATTGAAAGTAGGTACAGCTGCAGCACGAAAAGAAATAATCAGAAACAAAATCCGTGCAATTGGCAAGATGGCAAGAGTCTTCTCCGTTCTCAGGTAATTGTCTGTCTTTTCGCTTTCCCAGTAAATCTTGTTAACTTTTAATAGAAAAGAAAACTCTAACCCAAAACACTGGTTGTGAAACATTCATCTTCTAGACTTCTGCATCATAGTCTGCTTAAAATTCTGATATGCAAGTTGTTGTACAAGGTTTTTCACACATAATAGGGTTGCAGGATTTGGAGAGAAAATATGTTTTTTTATTTTAAGAAATAGTTACTTTTGTGATAGCTTATAGAAGTGGTTCTCAATGTTTTGGGACTTGAAGACCCACCTTCCCCTCCCCATAACTTTTGTGAATTGCGTGGTACCCAGTTTCAAAAAAATAATTTATATATTACAGTGTTTACTTGCAGAAGACCCAGGAAGTAGGGTGGAGGATTGATCAAGCAGGAACCAGCCTGAGCCCTGGCACCCTGGTTGAGAGTCACTGGCTTGTAGTATACTTATGAGTGCATCTGGGGTACCACAAGATCCATTTAAGGGTGCCATCCAATATTAGTACAGGTACTCCTCACTTAACATTGTAATTACATTCTTGAAAAATGTGCTTAAGCAAAACGATGTTAAGTGAATCCAATTATGTCACAGTAGTTACCTGCTACCAGGTGACAGTCAAACATCATGCAACTTCAAACAAGTATGTTCTCTAACAGCTCACTGACATACTAACGAAACGCTATTAACCGGGATGACATTAAGTTAGGAGTACCTGTACCATTAGGTGTGTAGATATTTCAGATAGGAATCTATTGTGTCAAAGATTCAGAGGTCTTTGCAACAGAAGAATTGCTCTATTATTTTTCTATAGTCAAGAAACGAGTGGAAGCTAAGAGCTGGCTTTTTCTGAGGGAAGCCTCCAGTCTAACAAGAGGTGCCTTGAGTTTGAAGAGGTTGAAAACCACTACTCTAGAAGCTGGAAGGCTGGGTACAGAATAGGCAATTTCCTCTCGCTTGTTAGCGTTTTGAAGTTTGATCCATATTAAATCTTGCCATAGGTAATACAATTTACTTGATTAGAAAACAACCCTGATGTCAGATGACCCTTCCATAATTGGATTCTATATATGGGACATTTATAAATTTGATATAATATTCCAGATACAGAATCTAATTATTGGAGGTCTGCCTTGAATTTGTCCCCTTCCCACTGCTACAGCAGGGAAAATAAATCTGTTTGGGGTCAGGTGGCCCCCTTGCTCTCTGCCTGTCTGCCCCCTGCAACTTTTTCCCTCTGCAACCCCCTCACTTTACTGTCAGACCCCCTACCCCCCCATCATATGAAAGTGAGGGGAAAACTTGAAAACACTGACTTTGAGATAAACATGCCTGTAATAAATGACTCTGGCCTACCCATAGACTTAGTTCACCCAGAATTAATGCATTTTACTTCTTTTTTGAACTGCTGCCAGTTTTAGCATAGGTATGTCATAAATACACTTCTAAGCAGCACTTTTCCCCCCTACTTATGTCGTACAAACTATGCATGATATTAGTCCAAAGCCAAAAGGCTCATTATTTACCATATGGTTTGTTGGGCTGGGCCCCAGCAGAGTCAACAGGATTTCAAGCCATAAGGACTCCACAGTTCAACAAGGAGGGGTGGGGCGGTGTCTGGCTCTATCTCATGGACTGAAAGGCCACATGAATCATATGTGACAAGCCAAGAGGGGGTGAGAGAGGGATTCTGGTTGAACTGTCTGGAGTCCTGTTTGGTGATGTTTGACAGACACTTAAGGCTCATGAAGAAACAGGAATAATTGGGAACAAGAAAGGCACAGCTCAGCTGTAGGAATGAAAAAGTAGTTGAAATATAGTCAGTGTAGTGCCCTTGACTTTAAAGAGAGTCAGCACTGTGTGTAATGGGCACTACCATATTTCTTATTCTGATGGGCTGCACTAAACCTATCCTTGTGGTGGTAGGTTCCCATCAGTATGTTTGCCCAATATGGACCATGTGTTATATAGTCATGCTCAGTGTTGGCTGTATTTAATCAACCTCATCACTTAATCTTCATAGTTGGTTTCCAGGAGCACATGCTGCATTTAGCAGCAGTTGAATTATATGCATTTAATGTGGGTTTTTTGTATGTGGATGTAAGATGAGGAGCCTTTTTTCTTTATGCTGATTGGGGGGGGAAATCTTGTCTTGTATTCGAGTAACTATGGCACATACAAAAAAAATCTGCTTATTTTACTTTAAGTTTATTGAAATAATTAAGAAACTAGCATTTTTTTTCCTTCAATCATAGGGAGGAGAGTGAAAGTGTGCTGACACTCAAGGGTTTGACTCCCACTGGCATGTTACCTAGTGGAGTGTTGGCTGGAGGACGACAGACCCTGCAAAGTGGTAATGATGTTATGCAACTAGCTGTGCCTCAGATGGACTGGGGCACATCTCACTCTTTTGCTAACACTACACATAATGCATGCAGGGAATTTCTTATGCTTTTCAGTTCTTGTCTTAGCGGCTGATACAAGCATAGTATTATGTGTTAATCAGGCAATGTGAAATGGATACCTAACCAGGGTATAAAACTAAAAGCAAATAATTTTAGCAGTGTTAGACCACAATTGTCAGTCTTTGAGTTTCCTTAGTTTAGAATTTTTCTAGTAGCAGGAGTGTCTCAGATGTGGGGTGACCTTTTAGAGCAGATTACGGAATCTAGTCATTAGGTCATTACATTACATTACAGATACAGAAAGTGCAATGTAATTTTGCATCTTCACTTTTTATTTAAACATTTTTGTTATGGACATGTTAGTACTTTTAATTGGCAGATGCCGAATACTTTTTGATGTTAGTATTAACAAACAGCTGCAGGCTGCAGAGCACTATTTTGCACTTCACTGGTAAATTGAAATGTGCTATGTTTTGTACCCTGGTAATTAATGCCAAAATTTGTTCTCCATGTTGTTTGTCAAATGTTTTATGTATAATTGACCTCCCTGAATTGTCCTTGTAACATGCTGTTTCCTTCCTCTGCAGATGTAGCTGCTTTCTTAGATCTGTCTGTCTCTCTCTAGGTATAGATGTATGTCTGTATAAGTGTTAAAATTAAACCACTATCCCAGACACTTGTGTCTGTCTCTTGATGTAGAAGCAGTGTTGTAGCACCTTGTTTTTGAGGTTTGCTACATTTGCTGCTGCACATTGTCTGTGCATTTTGAATATAAATGTACTTGAAAAATATTCAGTAATTGTTATAAAATCAACCAAGAATAAACGGATTGAATTCAAATCTTGTAAATAAATCAGAATAAAAGGGTGTTTACTAAGTGTGCATATATTTTTGCATGAAAATAAAAAGAACTATACACAAAATATACCTGTAATCTGGCTCATTGAATATTTTGTAGAAGTTGATTTTTTTGAGTTTGTTTTAAGCACTGAATCAGTCATTTTTTCAGAGGACTCGTAATAGATTAACTAGACATAAGAAAATATTATGATATCCTACAAGATGTATCAAAAGGATGAAGTCCAGATTTATGTGAAATGTGGTGGATAATTGAAATATTATGTTGGAAACTGGACTTCACATCACTGCAGTACTCTTTAGTATAAACTCCTTGAATGCATTCTAGCTGTCTGCCTGGGGCATGGGTGCAGTGCCCAATGCTGTCAGTCCTAAGGCTGGTTTTGAGCACTGTTGAAAGATTTGGCTATATTAACATAATCCTGTTTTATGCAATCTGTTGTGAAATCAAAGAGTAGCTGCTTTGCTTTTTGTAATTAACACTTACTTGAAATTTTTAAAATTTTCTTTGATTTTTAACCAGTTTATTGAACTTGCAGCTTATTTGTCAGAGGTCTTTACTAGTCTTGAAACATAAATGTCATATATTTAATAATTTTTGATGGACATATAATGTCTGCAGGCTAAGCTTATATGTCCAATTTATGTATGTGATTTGTTTTGTGAACGTCTATAACAACAAATGGTGTATGTTCCTCAATCCATTCAGCTCTTCAAATAGCATGTCTTATAGTGTTAGTTTGTATTTTCATTGTTTAGTGAAACACTCTATTGCTTTAAAAAGATGAGTCTGTGCTTCAATTTCCCTTCCCTCATTTACCAGTTTTTCTTCATATTTCATTAACATCAGAGAGATGAGCAAAGTGACTATAAAAAGATGATAACATAGCACATGCAACATATTATTATTAGAGGAGAAAAAGCTGGACAGTTGGAAAATATGCAAAAGACAATTTGGGGGTTTTTTTTCTGACTCCAGAATGCTTTGTTGCAGTATTCCTTGATGCATTAAATCATTACATGTGAGTTATGTGTCCATGTGACACTGTTTCAGAATAACTTCAGGTTTTAACTCTACTTAATGTAGTATGGTATTTTATTTCTTATTGATGCCTGTGCACAAGTTCTTTTAGAATTTCTGCTTTATCTGTACTGTCTCTAACTTTAAAAAATCATTAAAGATTTCAAATATAAATATAATGCTCAATTTCAAAACTACAGCAGGTAGAGTTTTGAAGTTCCTTAAGTGTAATAGAACCTTAATAATTTACACTTTAGTAAACTATCACAAGACTGGTGAACTCTGCATTTCTTGAAGATTAATATCCAGTGCTGCAATGAGTTTTCAGATTACAAAGATTTCATTACTTTTACAAACCTATTACAGCACAGTAACTTGTAAATTTTGTAGAAGTAGAAATAATTATAGATCATTGTAATTGAGAAGATAAAATAACTATAAGTTACGCTGTGTGATCTTTAAGCCTTACATTTATTTTGTTTTTGTTCAATTGTCAAGTCATGAGATACAATAATTATCAGTGTTTTTCCCCAGTCTCCCTCAAATTCCAAGTAGAGAGGTTCTGATTTGGGTAAGGGAGGGGGCAGGTGGGTAGTTTGCATCTGAATGAATTGGCCATTGCTGAACTTTGTTTTCCATTATATCTCTTATAGTTGTGGGGTTTATCTGCCTTTGCCTAAGAGATTTGGACTGAAAACAGCAGTGATAAAATATATTAGTTAATTTTACATATACTTTTTATACTTATATATCGGTATGGTTATATCAAATTAAACTGCTTTGATTTTGAAGCTTCAGAAATGTAATTTGGACCCATCTTTAAATTTTGAGCAAGAAATACCTTTAACAGTGTCACAATGAGATTTCAGAGAAGTTGGGCACAGTTTGTTCTTAAAGTGACAAAAAAAACTGTACTGGGTTATTAAATTAATAGATTCATAGATTGTAGAGTTGGAAGGGACCACAATGGATAATCATGTTTGACCCCCTGCCCCTGGCAGGAAAGAGGGCTGAGGTCAGATGACCCCAGCCAGGTGACTGTCAAGCCTCCGCTTGAAGACCTCCAAGTTAGGTGATAGTATTACCTCTCTTGGAAGTCCGTTCCAGATTCTGGCCACCCTTACTGTAAAAATACTTCTTCCTAATGTCTAACCTAAATCTGCTCTCCACTAGTTTGCACCCATTATTCCTAGTTACTCCCTGGGGCACTGTGATAAATGGCACATCACCAGTTCCCTCTTGTCCTCCCTTGATAAACTTATAGGTGGCTACAACTTATAGACATCTCTTGTGAAGACTGAAGAGATCCAGATCTCCCAACCTCCCCTTGTAGGGTCTTTCACAGAGGCCACTAATCATGCAAGTGGCCCTCTTTTGAACCCTCTCCAGATTCTCCGTGTCCCTCTTGAAGTGGGGTGCCCAAAACTGGGTACAGTATTCCAGAGAATATTAGCAGAGAATATGATGGTGAGGAGGGGAGAGGGAGACAACAAATACTACTTTAGTAAGTTGTTGTAAGACCACATCAAGAATATTGTATGTATTAATAAGGCCACTGTAACATGACTTTTACAGTCCTGGAGAAAAAGCAGCATAGGGCACCAAAATGATACCCAGTGTAATGTATTTAAATTATGCGGAATTGTCTCAGTGTAAAATAGAAGAGACTGAGGTATAATAACAGGCATTCTAAGGAAAGTGAAAGGGTTATAGTTTATATTTATCAGTGATAACTAAGGGAGCTATCTGAAAATAGGTATAAATAGGGAATATTGGCATGAATATAGAGGAAAATCTTTTTATGGATCATTCAAGAGACATGTATGCTTATCCATTGCCTCTGTCCGTTTCTAACATTTTTTCATTAAGTTATGCTTTTAATAGCTATATAGTCTACATAAGCTGATAGAGATAATGTTAAAATAATGAAGTTCAAACAAAAAGTGATAGTGTCAGATATGATTTCTTAGTAAATTTGAATGCAAGTTGCCATTTTAACAAACCAAGATCTGATTCAGCAAGGTACTTGAACAGAAGCCTAAATTTACATTTTTGAGTAGTCTCACTGAAATTGTTTGGAGTGGTCAGATACTTAAGAACTTTGCTGAACTGATGCCTTAATTACCAGTCTGACCAAAGTGAGCTCTGGCTCAAGAAGACTCATGCTACACATCTCCGATTTAGTTAGTCTTTAAGATGCAAACTAACCCTGCCTTCTATCATTCTGGCTATTGTTCAGAGGAATGGGAAGGTTTTGGTTTTTCTTATTAGCCTGAGTTTTGCATCAATACAGGCCTTTTATTACAAAGCTCTTACAACTGAAAATGCTATAAAATAGCATAGGTTTTAGTACCTTGAATATGTTTGGATTATAATACTAAGAAAAATGAATTGGAAACTTTTCTTGAGGAAGGATTTCAGGATCAGACTTATTAGCATATTATGGTACTGTTGCTTGAAGAGTCTGGATTTATTAAGCATACACTTTTAACATGGAGACATCTATGTAGAAACTAAGTGATAAATATCTTCTGGATTAAGTTTCTGCAGTCTTATAAAGTGGTATTTTCCAGTCAGTTCATTAATGCTCAGTGTGACAAACTGCCTTCTTGTAACTTTATATCCTGAGATCTCTGACACATTAGTGGTTCAAGTAGAATTAATTAAAGTAACAACTTTTGAAATTTGTGTCTGACCAAGCTACATAATTTACAGAAGTTAATCAGTATCCATGATCTTTTAAGGAAAAGACTGAAAGCAAAGACCTTACAAGTTACAGGAAATGGTAGAAAAAGGTGTAATTGTGTTGTTTTATATTTATATGGCAAACTGGCATTTATTATGATAAGAAACTATATTTGATTAGCTTTTAAAATAGTTCTAAACCATTTTTAATTTTTGCCACTTAGAAACAGTTTTTTTCTTAACATAAACATGAAAAACAATCATTCTTCCAAGTTGCCTTTTAATTTAAACTTGGTATTGTATCTCATTTATTTGGATTTGAAGTATAGGAACCTTCTGTAACTCCAAACATCCAATACATAAAAGTTAAAATGGTATGTTATATATACAAGCTATTGGTATGGGTTTTAGAATACAAATACCTGTTTTCCAAAGTACCCTTCTAGAAATTATTGGTATTTACCAACACCATGATTTCAAGTCCTTTTGTTGATAATTCATATATCTGCTAATTTTGTTCCCCAAGATTCACTCAAATAATTCCTCTCTTACAATTCCTTTTAGTAAATTGGATTAGTATTATGTAGATTGTCTACTACATGGAAGATTTTAAAATGCCTGTGTTAGATAGATAGATGTGCAGAACCATTTATGAGCCAATATTAGAATGTTGCTTGAGATTTTACTATTAAGACTTTTAGCAACAAGGCTGTACTAATAATTTTGCATGAAAGCTTTATAGTTTTTATAGCTATGCTTTCTGCACATACAAGGTAGTGAAAAATATTTTGCTCTAAAAATGTTACAGCTGTTTTTACAGCTACTTTAATTTAAAAAACACTGACTAGTCAGCTCGATCTTTGAAATGTTCGCACTGAAAATTCACCAGCCCACTAAGCTCTATCAGAGAGCATTTGTCCCAAATCTCTTCCAACTGTAAATATCTTGGTTGATTCCCCTAAATCTTTCTTGACATCGGTCACGTCTTAAATGTGACTTGCCAGAATTCATTTTTATGCTCTTAAATCTGTCTTTTATTGTTGGCTATTATTGGGACTGCAGTATCCCTTTTTAGCTCAGAATGCAATACAAAAACTAAGTTCAGCTTCTGAATGTGAAAGGCTCTTTATTTAATAAACATAAAAATAGCCAGTTAAATTAAATTAGTATTTTTTCATGTTAAAAAGAATTGATCATATTAACCATATTTCTTGGTAATGTAACAAAGCTAAGTATTATACTGTAGACCTTTAAAAAAGAAAGAAAGAAAGAAATCTGAAAGACTGAGTTAAAATTCAAACTCTGCCCCTTACTTTAACAGTATTGGGGCTATATATTGTATATTTTATGTGAGTAATACATTTGCCAGTCATGTAAGTGTGTAAATGAAGCACATATGAATGTTACATTTGATAAATTGTGTCACCCAAGATATAGGAGTAGTTTAAATTTTTTTTAAAAAAATCTTAATTTGCGCTATAAAATAATTGCAATCTAATCTGGTTTGGTATAATATAGTAAATTGATCATTGCCTTTTCTGCTATGCGATATTACACTCTTCATCTTTCTCATTCATTTTGCATGCATCTGCTCACTTCTGTACAGCCACTGTAGAGGCAATTGAGGCTGAAAAAGGTATGATCAGAGTCTTTGCAATTGGCAGAGATCTGTGGTGTCTGGGAGGGAGATCAAAAGTATTCTGTGTGGGTGTGTCTTATTTTCAACTTGCACGACCAGTATGAATCATTTGTATTGATTCATCCCTTTTACATGTAACATTCATTTCTTGCTTTCAGATGATTATCATCTTTAGTAATATTTTAGGAAAATTCTTATTACTTTACAAAACACACATTAGACTTTTGCTTTTTTTCTTCTGTATGCATACATGCGTGCACATGTGCACATATGTGTGTATGTTGTAATGTGTGCTGGTGTTTCTTGAAATTTTTAAAAATGATAGTGTTGAATTTTTGTTTTTTCTGCATTCAGCTACAATTTTTGTTATGTTGGGTTTTTTTTAGGGGGGCAGTGATTTATGCATGTTTCTTTTGATAAAGTTTATTTTTAGTTGGATTTAAATCTAATATTCTCATCACTTTCCATAACACATCTGGTAGTGCAAGATATGTTCCTGGTTTTATTGTGACATTTGGAGGTAGCTGTTTACCAAAATTGTTAATAGTGTATATATATATATATGGACTTAACAGTATAAGGTAGAGGTGCACCGATACATCGGTCTATATCATATTGGCACCAGTAAAAGGAAAATTGATGTTATTGGCAATTGGCATTTTTTGGCTGATGTGGCAGATAATGCCATCGATAAATACCATGTGCATGTGCACAACAGCAGCAATCATGCAGCCAGCCTGGCAGCTTTAAGAGCAGTGTCCAGCTGGTAAGTCTGTTGAGGGGGAGGGAAGGGGTGTGGGGGGAACATTGAGGCCCCTGCGGTGAGGGAGGGAATGGGGCTGGGGCAGGCGTTGCCCAGTTGGGATGGTGCATGGGATGGAGCCATGAGTGGTTCATCCGGGGGGGTGGGGGTGGCTCCCGTCACTACACACATCCCCAAGGGAGGTGTAGGGGGCATGTGCCCCCCAGGTCTGCGCATGGGGCATGAACAAGCTGCTGCTACGGGCTTGAGCTGGGCGTGGTGCCAGGCTCTTTCCAGCAGGGGAGGCTGGGCTGGGACTGTTTGGGGCAGGCAGCGGTGGTGCTGGGGGAATTATGGGGGGTACCCACCCCATAGACCCAGTCTCAGTGCCATCCGCCCTAAGTTTAGCCTCAGGCCAACTCCCACCAGGAACAGCCTGATGTTGCCTTTAGCCTTCGCTGGCAGCTGACCCTCGCCCCGCACACAGATCCAGGGGGCACATGCCCGCTATGGCTGCCTCAGGGATGCGTGCAAGAGAGGGAGCCACCCCCTACTCTCTGTGCCCCCCGGAGGAGCCGCTTGTGGCTCCATCCTGTGCCACCTTGGCTGGGCAGCGCCTGCCCCAGCCCCACTGCCTCCCTCACTGTGGAGGTGTCTATCTGCTCCCCCAACCCCGTCCACCCTAACAGACTTACCAGCTGGACGCTGCTCTCCAAGCTGCCAGGCTGAATATTGGCAATCAGATTGGTATCAGCCAATTATGACTCATTAATAATCAGCCATCGTTATCGGAAAAAATCTTTATCAGTACACCCCTAGTATAAGGCATAATGAATTACATGGATTATCAGTAGTGCTGTACTTTAAAAAATGCTGTTAGTGTAAAAACAACACTATAAAAAAATCTTGCCTATACAGAATACTCAGCTTCAGGATGCTGGTGATGATGAAGATCCTTTTCCCTAGGTATTTTGATTTCCATATGTGCAAGGGATCGAGTCAGTAGACTTCATGCACACAATAAAGGATATCCCAAAGACTTCAGGCTATGGGCAGACAAGATTCAGGTATAGATTCAACTAGAGGTGTTTCCTTCCTCATTCATTTAGAATGATAGGTAAATGAGGAATGTCTACTTCCCTGTTTAAAGCAGCTTGTTGACTTAAAAGACTGTAGTTGTGTCCATTTCAGCTATCCACATAATTAGCACAGTCGGAGCCATATCCTGCAGTTTTATCTGCATGAAAACTGTTGAAACAGGACATAAGTGTGTATGCAGGATGTGAATACATTATTGTTGTTATTATTTTAACACTTTTGCTGCTTTGCCTCCACTACACTTGCTGTGCTGCTTATATCTTACTGACTTTCTTTTGAAGTTAGGGGGATGTTAAGATAAGCCTGATCCACTCAGCAGCAAAAAGAATTGGTGTTACACCACTTGGACACTCCAGGAACAGTCAAAGTAATCAAGTGGCTTTAAGTCCCTTGATTCCTACCTGCAAAATATTTGCCATGCACTGTTCTATATCTCAAGTTGAAATCATGATTGTCATTGGACATTCCAGGAAAGCAGATTAGATAAGCAGTTGTAAAGCAATAACCAGTTCCTTTGGCTAGTTTCTTAGCTATTCTTTTAATACCATTTTATTAGAAAAAGTATATGTTTTCAACTTATTTTTCCATTACTGACCTATCAAATTTGCATTTTGTTAAGCAATACGAGGATTCTCTCCGCAACATAAAATCTGCAGTTTTGAAGAGGCAAAAGGTTTGGATAGGATCAATGAGAGAATGCCACCAAGAAAAGATGCTCTTCAGCAAGATGGTATTAGTTCTGTAAACACAAATGCCAATGGAAACAATGGAACTGGTAACAACAATGCACAGTGACTGCTCCAATTTCTGGTTTACTCACATATGTCTTGCCTGAGAATTCCTAGATTTACTGCTTTCTGACATGACAACAGATGAAATAGCCAGGGGGATCAGTCAAACTGACTACTTAATGTGATATGGAAAACAACCTGATCCCACTGAAGAGAAACCATCGTGCTTTTGAGACAACCGCCCCTCTGTATAAGTGATGACTTGAACATCTCTTCGGCATGCTTCTTCTATGGGCAGAAAATCCATTGCTGACTGCTGAACTTTGGAGAGATCTGGGAAAATAATTGGGCCGTTATCACTAAAGCACATCTAGACTAGCATCTTATGCTTATCATTGTCAACACTTTTAAGTTTACAAATGGGATGTTCTTTTCAGTAGAGCTAGATTTTTTTTAAATCAGACTTTTAAATACAGCCCTTAGAGCTAACTATTTATTAATGGACATTAGTCTAATGAAATGTCTTTAAAAGATAGAATAGAATGGTCTTAAAAAATCTGAGGCTGCAAAAAACTGTATTTTAAATAGAGAAAAATGCCAAAAATCTCAGTTGGTCATTCTATAAAATGCTGACCTCAGGTGCACTCCTTAGATACTGCTAATTCTGTATTTTGTAGTTATGGCTTATCAGAAGATTTCTACATAGGAAAGTTTATTACTTGAACACAGATTAAAAAAATATATTTAATTTAGAAATTTTTTTCCCAGCTTTTTCAAAACTCTCCCCACTTTGAAAAAAATTTTAAATTATATATATATCTATAGATATATATCACTATATATCTATATATATAGATATATATATCTACACACATACACACACACTAATTTTAAAGTGAAAAATCATGGAACTGCTTAATTTTAAGGTACTTTTAATTGAACTTTGTACATTATGTTGAAGTAAATTTTGATTCATATCAAGTCTGTAAAGCTTGGCATTGTATTTTGTGTATGCATGTTTTCATTTGGCAAAATATTTAATATATAGGCCTATGATGTACATCTATAGGTTACATAGATGTTATTGGTACTTTTAGTTTATTGTGAGTATTACAGTTGCATAAATAGCTAATCACTGGGCTGAATAGCTGCAAGCTTTTTATTATTTTCTAACTCTGTAAAGGAAACTGAAAATGTTATGGAAATACTTTTGTTTAGGCAATGCAGCGCATAAGTAATTGCTCTGTTCAACTGCTAAGGCATTAGTGAAAGTGTAAAATCGAGACTGCATGTATTTTGATAGCTACAGGACTGCTTGGTTAAAATTAAAACTGAAATTCTATGCTGATTTGTTCACAAATAATGAACTGTACTGATTGCCACTGTACTTTTGTTATATATTTTGACATTTGCTACCTTTCTCATCCCCTGGAACACAACTTGAAACTTAAGTCACTTGAGTTCATCTCCCTTTTTTTTGTTTGCCATAAGGTACAATCTGTATATATACCCCTGTCTCAGTCAAAACTTTTATGCATGTTCTGAGCTATTCAAGTATTTTATAAACAGTAGCACACAATAAATTTTGTGCATGGGCTGCGGCTCCTATCATTGTGTATTGGTTTTATTTTGAATGCTTAGGTCTAATCAGACCCAGGTTATTTTAAAACCTGAAGAGTATTTCTAACTATTTTTAAAATCAGAAAACAGTTTAATGAATGTAACTTGAGAGGGCAGGCTTAATTTATTTTCTGAGCAATATTTTACTAGAATCGAAGCCAAAAATTTATTAACTTGAAGTCCTGCTGCTTCCAGGGAGAGTGTTAATATTTTATTAATGAGATTTTAGAAACAGAACACCTAAGAATTTCTGTATTAAATTTGACATTCATTATAGGTTTCTACAGACCTATATCTAATGTGCAATGCTAGGCTTTGCTCAAAAGAAAAGCTGTTTATTGAGTTTTTTCATATGTGAGGACTGTGCATGATCTTTTATGTGAACTAAGGTGATGTTTTTGATAGCAGGTAATATCAGAGCCAATCTTTCTGGCCAGTTTTGATTAAAGGCAAATGAGAAATCTACTGAATGTTATCAGAGTATATTAACCACAAAATTGTTAGAATAGTGGTGATGGCTTACACATCCTGAAAACTTGAGTTAATGTTTAAGTTTTACTTCGTTTTAGATGCAGTGTAATTGGGAACAACCATTCAAATGGTTGGAATACAGAAACCCAAGATCCAGACAGTGGTAAGTGGCCCCTGTGTTCCTGGACTCTCACTAGTTTGTGATACGTGACATTGGGAAGGAGAAAAATGGGCACCTGTATTACAAAGTTCTTTTTATCTGAGGAGCAGTCCATCAGTAGTCTTCCATGATGGTGTTCAGTTGGGCAAAAATCCAACAGGTTTCACAAAGCAGTCTCTTAATGGACTGGCTCTCAATTAGTTGTTGTTCTGAGTGGGTGGGAGGTTGTGTATTAAAAGAAATACAATTGAAACCTCTGATACATAAAAGATACATTCTCAGTGGCCAGGATCACAGCAAGAATGGAAGGCAGCAGTGAAGTCTAATGTAACTTAAAAACTTTATCTTGTTCAGAGTAGACGTGTTTTATTAAGAGTTTTGTCTGAAAGTCCTTTCACCCTGTAATTCTCTATTTTCCTAGAGCATCTTACATGAGGAGAAGTCTGTCGTTGGGTGGATAACTGCATTTTGCTTTTTAGTGATACTTTGACATAAACAAAGATGGTCCTTCACCTTGTCTCTAGAAAAGTCCTAAATGTACCATGAGACTGAGTATTTTGAGCCATGTATTTTCCCAGTATGCTTTTAATGTTTCTGGTTGTTTGGATTCCAGATTGGATATTTTCAGATTAAGTCAGAAAAGCAGGATGGGGACTGTTATTTATACTCTAGCACCATTCTGTCATGTTTCAGCAACACATTCTTCCTCATTATCCACATGGGTGTTCAGCTTTGCTATTTGCAAGTGTGTTTTTTCCCGTAACTATGAAATTGGGACCTACCAACAGAGGGCATCCAGGTGTGGCCCTGTGCATTGCCATATGTTATCTTATCAGACTAGTAGTGAACAGCTGCAAGCAAGCCAGCTGAAAATATCAGTACCTGATGTTGCTAGGTTTGAAAAATCAGAAAATACAGTAATTGTTTGACAAATTGTTCTCTCCGTCCTGTCTTCCTATGGGTAGTTATTTGGATAATAAGAACTGGGGCAGCTGAAAGCCCGTCTGGAAAAAAAATAGATTTATGTCTCCATTACTAAACTTGCTTTGAGAAGGTGAGTCTTCATGCCATGAGTGTTTCTCTCATTGGTCAAGACATCAGAAGGAAAGATTCCTGGCTAATAATGAGTGTGTATTTTCCCCATCATTTGCATGCACTTGCTAGACTTTTTTAAAAGGAAAAGTCCTGATTGTTTTTGCTTCCTGCACTAAACATTGAAGAGACTGATATAAATGGCTTTGTGCCAGTTTTGTATTGTCTCTAGTGTTTGTCTACACAGGGATCTATATGACCTGCAGTGTGAACTACATCTTCTGGCTCTGCATTACACTTCACTCAACAGTTGTGCATTGGCCCTAGGAGATGAAGACTGACTGCAGTGTGGTGCCGTGTAGTACATTTTAGCCATGCCCCAGTTAGGGCTGGGTGTTTGACCAGTCAAATATCAGTTGAAAATTGTAAAAAATTGTCAGTGGGTCCAAATAATACGCAGAGAAAGCATAATTTTTGCACTAAGAAATGTGTCAAGAAACAAAAAAAATTGTCAAGAAAACTACAAAAAATACAGGGTGGGTTTTTTTGTGAAACTGCTATAATCTTTGACCAGTCAAAAAATATGCAGTCAGTGGACAATATTGTTCTTTCCCACCCTACCCCCAATTGGTCTTCTGTTAGGACGGAAGGGTTGGCACAGAAACCCTATGCATTTCATAATGGCTGAAGGTAAGTTGTATTCTCAGGGTTTTTTCTTAGGGCACTATCCTACCCACTTTGAACAATGTAAAGGTGCTTTCTTGAGAGAGAGGCCCAATGTGTAGAATACGTTCCAGTAACTGCCAGCTTTCGCCACTCTGTCAGGGCTTGGACAGATGAGTTAATGCATAGATTGGTGTAAGTGCCTTGAATCTGGAGTAATAATGCAAGGAAAAGTCTGTAGTTTAAAAAAAAAGTTGTCAGGTGTCATCTGTGCTGAGGTAGCCATTAGTTCAATACCATGATAGCATTTATTGTCAGTTGCTGCCCTGGTGTAGCTGTTCACGTGTTCCCTCTGGATCCCAGAGCAGTTTAAGTCAGTGAACAAAGCCTATGAAAATTGCACCAGTGTCCAGGGATTCCAAGTGCAAAACATCAGGGGGTTTTTTCACCCCATCTTTGAAGACTTGCTGCCACCTAGTGACCTAAACTGGAGATTGAACGATAGAATTCATTTTAGACCATGTAGTTGTGTCTACTAGGGGTGTCAAAGGTATAGCTCATTAAAGCTCTTTGACCTAGATCTGTCCCAAATAGGTTTGCCACCCCTGCTGCATAATCCAACTACGCAGAATCATGGTGTTTACTCAGTCTCCACCAAACAATTTTCAAGACTTCTCTGTGAAGGTCTCGGCTATCCAACTGGCAGCCTACAAGCTGCTCCCAGCCCATGGGTTCCCATCCAACCACTATGCATCTACCGCCGTACCCCCTGCAGGCAGGGTACTGCAGTAGTGAGGAGACTGGAGCCTGGTGCCTTCATGGCAGGGAGTGGGGGAAACATGTAGTGTGGCTCCCAGCTGCTCAGATGTTGGCCAGCTCGTCTAGGTTGTTACTGCTATACAGGTCCATTTAACTGAGATCTTAAATGGCTGTTTTAAGCACATTTGCAGCAGAAAGACAGCAGGCAGGTGTTTAGGCTTTTTCCCCTTTTTTGAAGTTGAGCAGAACATGCACTCTGAGTTCAGGAAGAGGGAGTTGGGTCCCTTTTGATTTTGTTTGTTACAAGGAAATTCAGACAGTATTTCAAAGATCCTGCAAGCCATCTGGTTTTAATGTTAATGGTGCGTAAATATGCTGAACATCAGCTGACTTAGCTGGATCTTAATAGTCCTATACCAAGCATGCTTATTTATATCAGGATAAATTAACTTGAACAGTTGAATGGGGTTGCCTTTTTTGGCCTGAGGCAATTGATAATCATTTGTAGGACATATGAAAAGGCAAGCAGGTCATGCTGCAACTGTTCTTTTCATCCTCACTGGGAATTTGTTAGGATGATGAGGCTACCTAATGCCTGAGGGCGGTCTCAATATTTTGCCTAAAGTATGGGGTCAAGCAAAATTTTTTCTAAGTATGGGATCAAAGCTGTGGTCCAGGCTGATCTGTGGAGGGGAGGGGGGTGTCCGGCATTGTTTGTGAGTTCTAGGTACCACTTTTGCAGTCTGTTTAAAGTCAGCCTGCACAAGTCCCTCCAGCAGTCAGAAGGGTGCACCTTGCAGGATTGCTTAAAAGCAGAACCAAGCTATTTGATGTACATGCCTGCTAGGAACTGTTCTATTCAGGTACTTGGTTCCTGCTTCCTTATTTTGTTGCAGCTTCTCTACCCATTCCCTGTTTGTTCCTCCCCACTTGAGGCACTTTCACATTTAAAGGGGAGACTCTAGCTTATATTCTCTCTAGACCAAAAGTAGCTACAACAGCAAGATTTGACATTCTTCTTTTTTAAACTGATTTACTATGTGACCCTCTCTCACATCAGCCTCCTTAAATAGCTCTGGCCAAACCCTGTTCCACTTCTGCTAGTGAGGACTGCAGTTGCTGTCGCAGAAATGCCTGGTAAGTTTATAAGAAGCTGCTTTAGAATCAAACCAGAAGCAAGCTATTGGTTTTTTGTATGTGGAATTGAAAAATGTGTCTCCTGTGTGACTAACATGAAAACTTACTGAGTGTTTGTGTACCAAAGGACTGCAAATGTAGGCAAGCCAAAAGTGCTTTGTCGTCAGAGGAGGACAAGCCCATTTAGCTTTGGGAGGGCTCTAGTAGTAACTCTAATCTGGACAGAGGCCTGCAGCTGCTACCAGCTGCATTCAAATGAGGGACCACCACCATTAGGAAAGTCAGAGGCCAGTACCTTGTTTTCTTGAGCATCAAGAGCAGCTGAATTTTCACAACTGAAGGGGGACAAAAACCCATGGATGTATGTTACTCAGGGCCCACTTCTGTCCCTGTTAACTTAAAGATACCAACATGCTGCACTGGAAATGTTTGAAATTGTAAATAGGCATTTCTTCTAACACCTGCAGAGGGGCAGACATTAGTGAACAGTTTACTTTTGTGGCTTTTGCTCATGAACCTCATGGCTGTGCTTGGGAAAGAGATGCATGAGTTATTCTCAGCCATGTGTGTCAATATATCTTTAAGAGTACTAGGATTCAGGTATGTCAGTCTGAAGAATTCTGCTTATGCTAAGTTCTGCCCTGGCTCTGGGTAGTCAGGCTACTGTTTCTGTATGCCTTCTGCAAAGGGCAGGCAGAAACTGTTTACATGCATTTTTTTCAGCCTCCTCACTTTTTAACATTTGTGTAAAGGTGCATATAATTAATGGAGGGGTCATGCAAGTGTTAGCATGATATGTACCCACCTTACTGAAGTTGCTTGTGTTGAGAGAAATTAGTTTTATTCAAAAAGAGTAGTTGCCAGTGAGTACAAACTGCACATACAAACTTACTTTGCAACCTGAAGTGACAGCTGCTTGGAAAAGGGGCACACCCATTCACTGTTCTGAACCCCCTTAGCTCTTAAATTCAAGGAGTGATGCCAATGATGTGCACTTTTACAGGACTGTACCAGGTAGCAATAAGAGGCCCACTCTATTTCCCAGAAGTATTCACAATCAAAAGGCCTTTCACCTTTAACTATCTGAATACCCTACTATGAGGATTAAGAGTGATTGAACTGACATTTATGGTGACAGCTGAGAAGAAAGTTTAGCTTCATGATTACTATGGTGATTCTACTTTTTAACCATTTTGACTGTCCAGGTCAAATGTGTACAGGACCTTTTGCCTTTACAGTAGAAGTGATTTTGTACTAACTGTTCTTGAGGGAAACTGGAGCAGAAATCAAATTTGTAGTTATTTTTCAATGGGTCAAAGACAACTGACACCTAAGGTAGATATATACACATACATATACATATATATACACACACACACGCGCGCGCACACACACACATTTTTATATAATGTAAAGTACAATAGTATGTTTCCAACTTAAGGCAAGTGTATGTGCAAAATAAAAGCTTTAAAATCATTTATCATTAAGGCATATTTGGTATATAGCATGAAATCATTCCCATAGATACATGCAAGGGCAAGTGTGTTTCTCTGCTTTGCTATATAGGTCATTAAGTTTGTTTACAAAAAATAATTTCTATTGCCCAACAATTGCCAGCAGCAAACGCCTGTAGTCACCGCTTGTGTCACTTGCTATCATTGTTCCCAAAGTCTTCTGGTACAGCTGTGTAAACATCTGTTTGATCTGCACAAGATCAATCTGTGCCAAAAGAAATAAGGTGAGCACAAAATTATTTTTGACAAGTAAAAGCAATTCATCTGATGTTATATATGTCAGGATAATTTCAGTAGTAGAGAGAGACAACCCATTTGCAATGAACCCAGGCAAAACTATAAGCAGACAGGCAAGAGGTTCTCTGTTTATTAAACTGCCATTTCAGAAGTAACAGAAACAATTCTGTCAAAGCTGCACTTAGCCTCCAGATCCTAGCAGAATCTGAGGAAGAATGTCATTGAGGCTTCTGTTACCAAATTTCCTATAAAAGTGGCTGCTTGGGGTAACTTATCTCCTTTCAAAGATTCTTTCCTAACTCCAAGGGCCTCCTTAATTAACCATTGCACACAGGACCTCCCCACACATGTATTCAGGTGGGCAAGTCATTTTGGAAGCAAAAGATGCATTCAGTCTGAAAGGGTGAAGACACAAATGCTTGAAATTCTTTCAAAAGGGGAAGGTTCAGCTGACCTGTTCTAAATGCTGTGTATGAATGAGCTAAGAACTGTTCAAATGCAACAAACCTACTCCTTCACCCAGGGTTAAAACTTTCCTTTTTATAAAAGGTTCTAAACTGATGTCCACACCCTGAAAGAAAACTCTCCTGTCTTCCTCTCAGAGGATGAGAAATGCAAGGTATTAAACTAATCTACACTGCAGTTTGAGAATACTACTATGATACTTCATTTTACATGAGCCCCTCATCTAGCTATTAACTTTGTAGTAGATGGGAGTCATGGATTCTAGGAGGCTAGTAACATTGCAGAGTGAGCTGAATATTTACAACCAGGCAAGTCCTGTTTCCAGTAAATGAACTTGATCTGCAAATAGTTACATTTGCAATAAAAGATTGATTTCAGCTACAGGTAAAGTTGATATCAAAACCTTTAAACTCCATTCCTTTCTTGCTTGGAGAAGAAAAATGGTTCTTACCTCGCTGCGAGTGACTATAATTCTGATGAGTGTAGAATCGTCTGTGCCTGCTCCTTTCATAGAATGGTAAAGTCTCTCAGCAAAAAAGGCTGGCCGATTTAGAGCACACTGCACTGCAAAACACATGTACAGTGTTAGTTCAGGTTCTGTATACTGTTGCTGCTGTTCATTTGGCAATATTGCATGATTTTTGCTAAAACACTTAATAGTAAATCCTGTCAAACAAACATCTGATCAAGCAGCTGGTAGTTTAAAGTACTTAAATCCCAGGAGGATGGGAACAGTGTTTATGGTCCCTTAAGCGTGGCAACATTATATGCACATAGGTAAGATCACAGCTCAGCTTCCATTGTTGGCTGCCCAACATTCTAATATTATAAAAGCCTACGGCTAAGTCTGTCTGTCTGTCTGTAACACTATTTGCACTCTGTTGGTTGACAGAAACAGCCAATCAGAGTGCTCCAAGCGTGGGGGAGTGCCGCCATGATTCCAAAGCCGTGCGGAGGACCGGACAGAGGGTGGGAGAGCTGGCCTCAGCTCCCCCACCCCACTCCCTGCCAGAGGCAAAACAGCAGCAGCATGGGGTGTTAGGTGGTGGCACTCCACCCAGCCCCACCCTGCTCATTCTTGACAGTCAATTGGCTAGTTTAAATATAAACTCTGACATGGCTATTTAAAAATTATAATTCAGTGTGGTGGTCCAAAAGGACAACTCTTTTGAAAGTTCACTGCAATCTTAATTCTATAAAAATTGTTAAAGGAAACACTCAAACTATTCACTAAAAAAAACCCTCTTTCCATTAAATAATCGATATGAAACCTCTCTCTTGTAGCTCTATAGCTAGAATTCCATCATTGTAAGTGCACATTTCATGGGCACTGGGTGGCAGGTTTAAATTATCTGTGTTCAGTTGCACCTTTCCATGAGAGTTCTTTTTCATTGCTGACTTCCCTGGGACAAGCATTGATTTTTCTGCAGTGCTTCAGTGGAATCCATACCTAGCAGAGCTCTAAACTGCACAATCAGCAATGGCATCTTTCAGGATTAAAGTTCTAATATACTGGGAAAAGGTAAAGGGATCTGTTGACTAACAGTAACAGCAGAGTTTAGGGAGCTTCTAATACTACAGGAACCCCCATCTTATAAAAGATTCATTTTTTTTACTGCACTATTTCATAGAAGTTGTGATTCTTAAATGATTATTTTTAGCGTATATTCATTTTTTCTTATGGACATTACTTTAAGCTTGATTTTTCCAGCCACCATTGTACAGTACATTGGAGAAAACCTCTATCTTGCTAATCCTTCTTATGCTGGAGCTTGCTAACTTCTTTTATTACTGAATGCTCTAAATCCTCCACCTTCCTTTTAAATAGGTGTGGATGCTTAGTAGCTAGAATGTACAGACATGAGTGAGATTTAATTCAGAAGAAAAGACTGGAAATGATTACACCACAGAATCAGAATAGGGCTAGAAGGGAGCTCAAGAGATCGTCTAATCCAGTATTTCTCAATCCATAGGTTATAACCCAAGACTGGGTCACAAAACTATATGAAAAGGTCATGAACAAACTTTAAATCTTTTCTCTTGCAGGCTGGCAGAGTTGCAGCCTGCAACGGGCTGCTTGGGGCCTTCCCTCCCCTACGCACCCACCCCCTGCTCCACACACTGGGGGCAAACAGGTCAGCAGTGAGGAGCACTGGGTTGGGGACTAGCCACGGATGTTTAAAACAGGTCCTGGTACAAGAAAGGCTGAGAACCACTGATCTAGTTCAACCTCCTACTCAAGGCAAGATCATCCCTGACTAAACCATCCCAATGTCTAACTTGCTCTAAAAAACATCCAAGGATAGAGATGCCAGAATTTGTCTAGGTAGCCTGTTCCAATACTTAACTGTCCTCATAATGAGGCAGTTCATACTAATTGCCAGCCTAAATTTCCCCAGCTGCAATTTGACATGTTTGCTTCTAGACCTGGCCTCTACAGCCAGATAATAATTTTATCATCTTTTTTTGACCTGGAAAGATGTGGGCAGTGGGGTCCCCAAGGCTGTCCTTGGATCTGAGCTATTCAATGTCTTCATCAGTGACTTGGATGAGGGTGTGGAGTGCACTCTGTCCAAATTTGCAGATGACACAAAATTATGGGGTGAAGTTAACACACTAGTGGGAAGGGGTCAAATCCAGTCAAATCTGGACAGGTTGGAAAAGTGGGCAGAACACAACAGGATGCAGTTCAACAAAGACAAGTGCAAAGTACTGCATCTAGGGGGAAGGAATCACCAACACAACCTATAGGCTAGGGGATGACCTTCTCAGCAGTACAGCAGCAGAAAGGGATCTTGGAGTCACAACTGATGCCAAAATGAATATGAGCTGTCAATGTGACACAGTAATCAATAAAGCTAACTACATTTTATCATGCATTTGCAGGTGCATCACAAAGGTCCAGGGATACTTCCCCTCCTATGCGGCACTGGTCAGGCCACAGTTGGAGTACTGTGTCCAGTTCTGAGCGCTGCACTTCAAGAAGGATGTGGACAACATGGAGAGGATTCAAGAGGAGGGCCACTCATATGGTTAGGGGCCTGCAGGCAAAGCCCTACAAGGAGAAATTGAGGGACCTGGATCTCTTCAGCCTCTGCAAGGGAAGGCTGAGAAGGGATCTTGTAGCCAGCTACAAATCCATGAGGGGGAGGAGGGACAGCAAGAAATTGGAGATGCTCTGTTTAATATGACACCCCTTCGAATAACCAGGAACAACAGCCACAAACTGACAGAGAACAGAGTTAGGTTGGACATCAGGAAGAACTTCTTTATAGTAAGGATTGCCAGAATCTGGAATGGGCTTCCAAGGGAGGTGGTGCTCTCCCCTACCTTGGGGGGTCTTTAGGAAGAAACTGGACAAGCACCTGGCTGGGGTCATCTGACCCCACCATTCTTTAATGCTCAGGGCAGGGGGTCAGACTCAATGATCTACTGAGGTCCCTTCTGACCCGAACAACTATGAAGTGTGGCACGCAAAACTGAACATAGTATTCCAGGTGAGGCCTCACCAGTGGTGAATGGAGTGGGATAATCACTTCCCTTGATTTGCAAATTAACCTCGTATTAACAGAACCCACTATGCTGTTAGCCTTTTTCACAAGTGCATGCTGTTGGCTGACATTCAGCCACTGTGCCTCCCTACCCCTTCCTCCCTCCCAGGCCCTCCTCTGCAGTACTGCAGCCTCCTCAGTCTGTATTTGTGCATGTGCTTTGTCCTGCCCCAAGTGAAGGACTCTGAATTCTCCTTATGAAATGTCATTAAATTGATTTAATTCAATGCAACTGATTTATCAGTATAACTTAGCTACATTTAATTTGGAGAAGATCAGCATCTACTTCAGGGACAGGCAACATTTTTTGGCCGGAGTGCCAAAAAACACCAAAATGCTTACCTCGGAAGGTGCTAGAGTGCTGGCATGGCAGAAAAATAAAACGAGGACAAGAGGTACATGGTAGGATGCCTTGCTTGTGCCCCTTGCCCCCCACCCAAAGCCCCTGCCCCACAGTTCAGAATTTGTGGCTGCCAGCAGCTACCCCAGCTCTGGGTAGCTGCTGGAGCCTGGGCTGCCCCAAGCAGGCCTTGCAGCGTCCCAGCTGCCTGCTGGAAGCAGCTCCCCAGAGCCGGGGCGGCTGCAGCCAGGAGTCTCCAAACAGCTGTGCCGGGCTCTGGCACCAGCTCCGCATCGGTGCGTCGTGGTGGGGCCTGAGGCAGCGCAGCCCTGGTCTCTCCCCCGCTCCCGGCACGGAGGTGATGAGCCCGATGCAGCTGTTTGTAGCCTGCCCGCTCCCAGGCTGGCTACAAACAGCTGCGTCAGGCTCATCACCCCCGTGCTGGGAGCGGGGGAGAGACCGGGGCTGCGCTGCCTCAGGCCCTGCCCCCACTGCCCACTCTGAGGCATGCCTGCACACGCCAGTGCGGAGCTGGTGCCAGAGCCCTGCACAGCTGTTTGGAGACTCCCGGCTACAGCCACCCCGGCTGCTTCCAGCAGGCAGCTGGGACGCTGCAAGGCCTGCTCAAAGCAGACCAGGCTCCGTCACTGGCAGTAGGTGCCCGGAGCCAGCTGGCCGCCGTGCGCCAAGCAAAATGGCCTCACATGCCATGCTCGGCATGCGTGCCAGGGGTTGCCGACCTCGATCTACTTCATTGAAATCATGAAAGTTCATCTTTGAGTCAGAGCTAGGTAAGTTAGCCATTAATCCCTTCAAAAAATATATATGACTTACAGATAGCCTTCAGACCACATTCTACATTTCCAGAAAACTCCCGGTCAATGCTGCTTAACAAATCACGATTAGCAATCTGCAAAGAAAAGGTAAAGGGGTTTAATCTTTTACATGTGTTGTGGGAATGGAGCAAATTCAACCCTGACAAATGTGGACCAAATCCATTTGTTGTGAGTGAAGTTTTGCCCATTTTTACCTCAGGGCTGAATTTGATTCAGAATCTTTAATTGAAGAGCTTCTACCTTAGCATATACTTCAGCTGTAGCTTTCATTTGGGGAAAGCTTCTAGTTGCTAGAACCATGTTGAAGCAAGACTCATCAGTCCCAAGTTTCCCTTCACCAGCTTGGTAAAGACGTTGAGCATCCTCTTGAGCTTTTTGGTAGTCCACATTTTGATTCTCATCCCTGTTACCCTGCAGATGAAGACATTAAGTGTGGAATCAAATGATGTGCCTGCAGTGGATCACAGCACAGCAAGGTTTTCAAAGAGAAGGCCTTACATTCTGCAGCTGAACAACCGTTAGAGCTCTGCTAGTTTCTGAGCAAAGCTGACTGGTTAGAGAAGCACACACACATCTGCTCTCAGTCATACTTTGCTGGCCTACATAAACAAGTGAGGTCTGGAGCAAAGACTGCACCCCCAGATTTTATTCTGTCCTAAAGGCACAGAAGTCCATAAGTCCTTACTCCTTTCCACATGGCTTACCTGGCACATAGAGATAAGCAGTCGTTCAAAGTGTCCTGAGGTGTCTGCTCTGATATCCTTCTCGATGTCTCTTCCAAATTCTGTTTTGTAGCACCTGACTATGTCTCGAATTTCCTGGTTTGTTCTTGTACAGAGGATCTCAATCAGCACTCTCTCCTGAGTGCCTGCTCCCTAGAGGCAAAGAAAGAGCGTATCACTGCACCAGAAGAACCATTTACCAGTTTGTGTAGTTATGAACATACCCGACAGCTAGCCAAATTTATACCATATTCTGAAGTTACTCTAGTGCAGTCTGTCTCTGTCTTCTGAAAGCTCTAAATCCTCTAGTCTCATCATTTTAAATTGAATCTTTTTTTTCTTTTTTTTTAGAAAAAAACTGCTGAGTCAGGAGTTTCTCAAAGAGCAGCACATGAATGACAATGAAGTAAGAGTACCAATGGTGGGCAACTTGAAAGACTTAAAGGGAGAGAAAATATCTGAACTGACCTTTCCCTTCTTATGTGCGCTCAAGAGCAAGGTAAAGGCTTAAAAAGGCTGCCATGGAAACTATGCATGGGTCTCGATTTTTATCTTTTTATTTATAAACATACAAGTGATGTTACCATTCAATCTTAGACATTGGGTATATGATTGTTTCTGCCCCCTACTGTGTACTCAGTTGGCCTACGTGAGTGAAGATAGTGTCCATAATGTGCTACCTACCGTACAAATAAGCCAGGAACTTTAAGGATAGGAGTAATGGTATCAGCATACAAACCCTTATTCTAACTGTTGCAACCAGCTCGCTTGAGTCGAAATGGAATTTCTCAAACAGTCTACCTCACGTATCACTTGAGCAATTATACAAAATGCAATGCAAATATGCAGATCATTATTACATCTCTGGGAAGTCAGTCAAGAAAAAATGATACCCATAAGTAACCCATACTAAAACCCCTAGTTTTAGTATGTTTAGTATTGTAGTTTTATTCACATTAAAATAATTATGACTCAATCTAATATGTATCTTGTGATTATAAAGAAAAAAATCATTTGTAACAGTCATTCTTTAGCACCAGTCATGATTTATTTTTATGATGTCAAAAACATGGCCATTGCCTGAAAAAGGCTTAAAATATTACATGCAAACAAATGAAAATAACATTAATTTCTCAGTATTCTAGGCAAGAGAGTTTAGACTTTCAATTTTCAGAAAGTTAAGCAAACTGGATGCAGTTTTCAGTGCAGTCCATCTTTTAATTTCCCTATTATGTCAAGAAGTTTTAGTAAAGAAGTGTTGGCAAGAGAAATAATCCAAAAGGAATAAAAGGGTGACAGCTGACTCCCTGTGATAAAATTTAAGTTGCCTTGACTCAGCTTTAATTACCATCACATGGAAATTCTGCAGCTACTTTAGATTTGCTTGGTTTTCGCAGGCCTAACTCACTTTAAGGTTTCTAAAGAAACCATCCCATTAAGAGTTTGGATGTTTTAGAAAAAGTTTCCAAAAACTCTGGAAACCACATTCTCAAGTTCCGCCACCTTTTTTTTTTTTCCTTTTGGCTTTGTTCATAAGAGAGGTAAACCTTCAGTTGTTGATATTGGCACACTAGAAATCAGTTAAAGGGCATAGTAAGGTAGTTCTGCAGTTTTAATAACTTTGTCACATAACACAGGATCTACAGTAAAAGCCACGTTATCTGGCACTTTACAAGCCAGCATTCTATATTAACCAGCTTGTAAAGTAAAGGTGAAACTGGAAGTGTCCACCATGGCACTTCTGGTTTCACCGAGCCCCTATGGCCCAGGGCAAAGCAGCCTGTGCTACCAAGCCCCCACAATAACAGTTCTTTTCCCTTTTCTCTTCTGGCCTCCTCCCTGTCCCTTGCAGCAGAAGGGGCGGCAACACGGCAGGAGGGGTAGTGGTGCACTGGACATGGCAGGAGAGGCAGCCTTTCAGGTAACTGGCATGTTTTGTTATCCAGCACCCCAATTCCCCATGGGTGCCAGATAACAAAGTTTTTGCTGTAATTGAAAATAAGTTATTTATGATAAAACTGTACCTTCATTGCATGATATAAACTCCAGGCATCATAATATGTACTCGGCATGAACAAAGCTAAAATCAATTCTTCCACGTTTCCACTTAGTTCAGATTTCAGGTCTTTAATTAAATCCTGTCCAATTACAAAAATAAGGATGAGGTTACAAATACAAAGGTGTAATGTGAAAAAGGTCAGAGGTCCAGATTACCATGGGCATTGGTATGGGTTAGTATTAAAACAATTGCAGCTTTTATACTGTTAGGGTGCCTTTATACACGCTCCGGGGGGGCGGGTACATTTTAACGAGCAGTTTTCCAGAGCTGCTTGAATTAAAACACTGCAGCAGCTCAAGAATTTAAGATCCCATTCAATGAGCTTTCATTAAAGCGCCCCCACAGCCATTTTGAAACGCAGCACACTGAATGCACAAGATGCTACAACATCCTAATTGGAATGCTCCAACAGACTCGATTAATAGAGTCTGCCCCAGTGCATTCTAATCAGAATGTGTCAGAGCATGGAGATAGGCACCGTCAGAGTTTGCAGAATTTCAGCCCAGAATGGCAGAAGTCTTATGAAAGGAGCTGATTTTGTGACAGGATTGTGACATCAGCTGTTCTTTTGAAATTCTGGATCCAGAATTCAGGTACAAACTTTTCCCCCACCAAATGCAAAATGAGGATGGATTAGCAGTTCTATTTTTGGCCAATTTAGTTGTATTGTTAGGATTATAATCAGCACTCCCTGCAATTAGAATTCACTAAAAGGTAGAGTTGAGGTGATTCTGTCCAAAACTGCAATACAAGTCCCTACAAATCCACCCTTCCACTGAAATCCTTCAGAGGCCCAGTTTCAGGAAGTGTTCTCATACTTAACAGGATTGTACCCCTCAAAATTCAGCTGCAGCCATTTTCTTTTACAACATGGCTAAGAGAGCAGAAGGTAGGGTGCCCCCACTTTGTTAGCCTAGTAGTTAGAGCACTGGCCAACAGAATGGGAGATGTGTGTTTGAACCCCCTCGTGCTGAGAGAACTGAATCCAAACCTCCTGCCCCATACAGTATCCTAACAACCAAACTGTAGGCTAGCCTGAGTATGACTACTTTCCACCTATCTTGTTAAAGCTATGTTGGTGCTAAGAATGCAAGATTCACAGCAGTGAGTAAAAAAGGAGCATGAGTATGGCCTACTGGGCCATACAACTGAGAGGGGAAAGACCTGAGTTCTGGTCTCCAATGACAGCTTAGGCATTTTACCTGAAACAATCACTGTAATTAAACCAGAACTGCAGCTCTGCATTAACACCACCTTTAGCAGACTGTCCACAAACAGCTCCTGAAATTCTTACTTGGAGCAAGACTTACTTCAGCAATAACTTGGCCTAAGGAATTTAGAAAAGGCACCAGCCCATCCTAGCTGCATTTCAATAGTTTTCATGATATATTTTGCATAGACTTTTGTTGTATTTTTCCCTATTATTTTCAGATCTTTTCCCCAATTAGGATTAAAATACAGAGTGGTTTTAATTATCTGCAGGGATTTGTGATCACTCCCATTTAAGAGTAGTTTGAACTGGAGTATTTTCTGCCCTTTAAAAGATTTATAAAAATATAGGAAGCTATTGTTGTTCGGTCATGACTGCTTGAAGAAGTCCTATCATCGGTCAGAGGTATTCACCTGGAGCTACTGACAGAGCAAGAACATAGGTAACTATATGCAATACCTTTAAAAACAATACAGAAGTCAGGTACGTTCTGCCTGGGACTAAAAAACAAATGCAGACAACATGGCTTCATACAGTGTTCACTTAATGGCATGATAGAATCTCATACTTGATCC